ATACACACACGGCCATGCCCTAAGCATAATTTTTGTCTAAACCGAAAGATTATGCCGACCTTACACGTTATTATGCCGGAGCATAATTTAAAAAATAATAATTTTTTTACGAAATCCCAAGATTATGCCAAATATTATGCCGGCATAATCCGCCAAGGGCTAGCTACTACCTGGTTTGCAGGTTACCTTGACGCTCGCCAGTTACAGGTCAAAGTTGGCGAAGACCTTTCCCCCCTTGCCCCGATCTCGGCGGGGTTCCTCAAGGATCCCACCTTGGCCCCATCCTATTTCTCCTGTACATTGTACATTAATACCCTCCCGAGATCAATCCCTGATGGCAACAGGACGGACACATACCTCTATGCTGATGACACTGCGCTGGGTAGGCCTGGGCGGATAATGCTAGTTATTTTGCGGGATAATGCTAATGGCAATGCCAGAAAAACTGTATCATAATGCTACTTATAATGCTGCTGTTCCTCTGTAATGCCAGCAATTCACCAGTAGTAAGTATGGAAAAATGGCTTGGTTTAGGCAATATTGTGCACGTTTCGTAGTTCTACGTAGACGGCATGGAAAATGCAGAAAATCATGGTCATAATGATAATTTTATGCTGCTATTGCTCCATAATGCCAGCAAAACCGCAATAGTATACATGGAAAATGGCTTAGTTTGGACAATCCTATGCAGGTTGTGTAGTTCTATGTACAAGGCATGTAACGGTCCATTTTTTGTAGTGGCCAAAACTTCTATATTTGAGTATAATGCCACTTTTGTGGAAATGTAGTGTTATAATGCTAGCATAATGCTCGTTGCAAATCGCACACTATAATGCTACTTATAATGCTAGCATTATCCGCCCAGGCCTAGCGCTGGGGTTATCCCGACCGCCAGCAGCAGCAGCACCTCAACAGCTCCAGTCAGCAGTGAACATGGTGATGGACTGGGCTGCTACTTTTGGTGGCAGGTTTTAATGCGGCTAAATCCGTGCGTGTTGTATTCGGCAAACTTGACCCCGCCCAGACTCCTGCCCCAGCACTGCGTGTGGATGCTGCAGACCTATGTCCCTCGACTACCCACCACCATCTAGGAATCACCCTGGATCCCCGCCTGTCCTTCCAGACCCACATCAATAGTGTCACCTCCAACTTTCGTCGTCGCGCTGTTCTGCTATCCTACATGTCACCCAATCTGACCCCTGCTCTCATTGCCCACCTCTACAAAGAATACGTCCGTCCCTCCATCGAGTATGCTTCACCTCTGTGGAATAACAAACTGACCGCAGGGAATATTGACACTTTGGAACGATTGCAAGCACGCGTGGCCAGGCAGTATTCTTGAGTGACCGTTGTATATCCTTATTGACTTCTTTTTCCTTGGTGCAAGTCACACTCCATGTATGTTCTTCATTATCTTTACCTTTAATGGGTCTTCACATTGTCTATAGCCTCATCTTTTAACTTTTCTTTTTCCTTTTTGCCTCATCGGCGCTCTTTGAATTTGTGTGTCAACACTGTTGAGTTGTTCGATGTTGAATAAATACTACTACTACTACTCCAAAGGCAGCTCACAACACGTGCCACACATACTGATGGCACTTGGGTCTTTCACCCTCCCCAGGGGACCAACCACGGTCCCATAGCTCAGTGGTTAGAGCATTGCTCATGACAAGCAGGGTCCCAGGTTCGAGTCCTGGTGGGTCTGGCGATTTGTTCTCTTTTCAGGCAGTTCACTTCCCCAACTGATCCTTTGTATTTGAAGTTCTCCCAGTCCGTTCAAAAACAACTACTACTACTAGTATTTACACCGTCGGAAAGTGCCCATTCCTCATGGCATGGAGAACGTGTTTGAAGCTGCTGAATGGGAAAGTCTTGCGTGGCGGCGGCACATACATTGCCTCAAACTGTTTTACCATTTCACCCGCCAATACCCGGAAACCCTCAACAATTTCAACATAGTTCTATCCAAGAGTGCACGACGTCCTCACTTTTACCTCCTGCCCACTCACACTGGTCCCTGTTTCCACTCCACTCTACTACATTCCATGATCACCACGTGGAACTCCCTGCCTACCGAGATTAGGATATCTGAAACCCGTGGTGTATTTACTATTTAGCCGGCACGTTAAGTCCCATTTCCACAGGTATAGATTCCATCCTCGAGGTTTTCTCACTTCCTGATTACCCCCCCCCCCTTCTTTACCAGTACCCTTTTCGCTTGCTTCTACTCGGACTTGTTAATTAATTTTAACCTTTTCACCTTAATCTTTTTTTGACCTTAATAATATTTTCTTCCTTTTCAAAATTGCACCCTATTGTACACGTATTGTACACGTATATTTATTCTCGGAGACCCCCTTGATTTAGGCTTCGGCCTTTGGGGAATCCCTCAAATAATAATAATAATACACACGAGCACGATCAGCATTTTTTAGAATACTTCAACAAATAAAACTGGAAACGGATGCATACAGGAATCGTAACAGCTGACGGTACCGAGTGGCAAAGCGACATCATACGAGTATACAGTGCCCACGAGAATAGTACAATTCTACTTATATTAAACTGCAGCCGAGAACCACGTAGTCGAAAGCTACACAACACGGGTAAACCATTTTCACATGTATAGACAATTATTTGCAAAAAAAGTTCGAACATTCGGGGAGAAGACAGCAGTAGCAACCATAGCAATAAAAGACGTCACGGGTGGAAATAGCATGTGAGACTGAGGATTTGTGACGGGGCTAGGACTCAGCAGCGGGCTGCCGCCTGTCTCACCCTCTGGAATGATTCGTCGGAGTGATAGTAAACCATGAACATGCCGTCACAATAGCCGGGAGTGGTCTCGGGTGCGGAGTGGATGTTAGTGCGAGTGGAGCGTCTAAGCTGAGCGATGTTGGCTCCACCACTTCCGATAAATTTCCCCGGCTTTTTCACAGTCACAAAGCCGACACTTGCCGTCTTCCAAGACAGGTTCTCTGCCGTTGCACTCTGTATACGGCCAGTAACACCATCCGATACGGGCTTGCTGCGTTGAGCTCTATAAAGATCGAACATGAATTTAACGTCACCAGACGCCCAACTCTCCATCTCGTCCGTGAGCGGGCGCCGGGCCCAGTACCTGTAGTCGGTTCGGTACACGGAGCAGTTCCTGAACTGGTTCGTTTCTAGGCCGTTAGATATCAAGACGTGGTTGAGGTTCTTGTGGGCTTCTCCAGTCAGCGCTTCGTGCCAACATGAGGTGTCGTGAACGTTGGTCAGATCAATTCTCAGTTGGTGGTACAATGCGTCCGCATCCTCGCAGCAGTCATGAATGATCTTAAGCACCTGTTCATTTTCCAACAAATTTCGAAGCCATCCCACAAGAGGATCGCCTGGTGCTTTGTCAAGCACGTCGACGATAACACAGCAGTCGGGGGTTGAGACTTGAACAATGCTAATGCTTCCTAGGCGGCTCAGGGAGACTCCCTCTGCGTCTAGTGCTATAACTGATACACCTGCGAAGACCTCAGAGAGCTCAGCTGAAACTGCGCTGCTGAATGAATCGACAACGTTAACGCGAAGAGCAATCCCACGGGCAGCAGCATCCCCACCGACAGCCATTGTGCGTGGTTGGCTGTGGAAATATACGCTAGCCTCAGCGCGTGACTGGGACACTAAGCAAGAAATAGTATGTACTGGCTGCAAAAGGTCAAAAGCAATAGTAAACCAGCGCTCTGCTTCCTGGCATGGAGGAGGTTGCAAGAAACAATCATTATAATTTTATTTCTCTGCCAAGTACCTGCCAAATACCTGGCTAGTTGTGGCAATGACAGCACCTGGGCCGCCAGCGACGACTTCACGAAGTACATATATGTACATGTCATGTACATGACCACTGATGACATGACAGCATGACAGCATGACATCATTCTGCAGCGAGAAGACAGTCGATCGATCATACCAGTACCTGCTGCTATCAAGTGACAAGTCGGGATGGGGGGGGGGGGGGGGGGGGGCGATGATTTAGTAGGTGGGGCCTACTATTTTTGTAGACAATGTAGTATTTAGCATGCGGAAATTAGTGGGGTCAAATACTAAGAAGGCGATAATGCTAGTTATTGCATGTCACGTGAGGGTTGTCTGTACTACGGCCAATCAGCGCCCTCCGCAAGCGGTCTGTATTTCTCGGTATTGCCCGCTCAAGCGGGCAATAACTTTCAGTTTATTGCATGTCACGTGAGGGTTGTCTGTACTACGGCCAATCAGCGCCCTCCGCAAGCGGTCTGTATTTCTCGGTATTGCCCGCTCAAGCGGGCAATAACTTTCAGTGTATTGCCCGCTGAATCCGATCACTCTGCGCATGCCCGTTCGTCAGTTGAGTCCTTCACTTCTCCGGAGCAGGTTGTCATTTTGGTGCGATCGATGGTAGATGGACAAAATCGCCATCAGACACACCGGTCACCAAAAGAAGCAACAGGCTCGAAAAAACGGAGGACTCTACTGGCGACGAGCATGTACAGAATAATCGGATTCAACAGTCAATACACCAAAAAGCTACTGCCTACCTGCACGGACTTGTCTCTTCTCTCCGAAGTTACGACCGGCATTGATGATGTGAGTCGGCCGTCGTCGACCAACTGTTCGAAGAGCTCAGGGAGCATCGCAAGCGCAGGCACCTTGAAAACAAACGGAAGGTAAAAGGAAACCTACATTGTAAATAATTGTTTCCAGTCTTGGACGTATCCGGCATCGCACCACAAGAAAAGTAATGGTGAAGAAATCAAAAATCAGTTCTCAAACTTTCAAAGCCTCAAACGACGTACATTTCAGAATTCTGTCAACGAACTCCAAGTCCACAGCAGGATCCAGGTCGAAGAGGTGCAAGAAAAGGACTTTCAATGCTGATCTGCACTCTATATTATAGCAATAAAAACTGCTTTATGGCAGTTTTCTAAAAAAAGTTATTGTGTTCTAGTCCATGGACCCCGTCTAAAAAGTAAGAAATTAACGAAATGTGATAGCCGAAAATTAAAATTTCACACAAAACCTCACAATAATCACAACACTTGAAATGCTGCTTTCAACACTAAACTTGTACCGCACAACAATTGGCAACATGCATGTCATGCATGCATAGGAAAGAGGATCACGAGGGGAAAAGGTCTTATTATTATTATTATTATTAAATTTTGAATACGGCAGTCCCACAGGCCTAGGGCCTTTTTACAGGTCTTCTGCATGTAGCTTTTCATTCTGTATGTGATTATTGTGAGGTTTTGTGTGAAATTTTAATTTTCGGCTATCACATTTCGTTAATTTCTTACTTTTTAGACGGGGTCCATGGACTAGAACACAATAACTTTTTTTAGAAAACTGCCATAAAGCAGTTTTTATTGCTATAATTTCTTTTGTTTTTTCTGTCACCAATGGAATGCCCTATATCAATAATTATGTAAATGATGGCCTTCACATCATGTCAATTACACCGTATCATACGCATTGATGTGCAAGCCTTTTCTTGCAGAAAATGGCACTAGCATGTTCTTCTGCGGGGATACATGTGAGTGTAGTGGTGGACAGTGGTGATACTTTTTTTATACGGAGGTCATTCTGTGCATGTTGCTGTAGCAGAATTTCATGACTCTGTCATAAAATTGTCTTGCCTTTCAGATATTTCAGATTTCCCCACCCTCGATCAGATTTATTTGAGAAATGTAACCAGGTACTTGTCGCAGATGTTTTTGTTGATTCTGTGTTTATAAGTATAGATTATAGACCGGTTAGGAGGTCTATACAGGATATATAGACCGAGTAAAAGACCGAGGTCCCCCGAGGTCTTTTACGAGGTCTATATATCCTGTATAGACCAACTATGAGGTCTATAATCTATTTATCGTGTTCTCCACGCAATAGTTTCTCTTCATATACAACATAATCCTTGTAATTCTAGTATTATACTATAACCTATACCACATTGTACTGCATTGAAAGTCAAGATTATTGTTTAAACTAGGTTCAGCATCGGTAACACAGTGGCTGGGTGGTGAGGAAGAGTGACTGAGATTCACAAGGTTGTGAGTTCAAATCCCATCTTGTGTATTAATGCTTTCTTCAAAAATTTCTTTTTCTAAGTTGAAGAGAAAATTTCTAAGTCCAAGAAGTTCTAAGGAGTCAAATATAAGTAGTCAAATATATCGTGTATTTGACTAAGCAGTCAAATACGCGATATATTTGACCGCTTAGGTATCAGGGAAATTAGTGGGGTCAAATACTAAGAAGGCGATAATGGTTTATAATCATGGGTTATCGTGATAAGGTCATCCTGCATCATATTGCACTGAAATCGTAATCCTGTTGATGTCGATACAACTTTTGGAAGTAGTTCAATGACTTCAAACTGGTAGTCCACGATTTTCTAAAACAACACAGCAAAGGAGGAACAATAAACATGTATTAAAATGTAAACAAATACATTACGTAACCTCGTTCCAACAAATACACTGATCCTGAGGATAAAAGGGGCGAGGCTATGGTTGGAGGTACTGAGAGATAAACAAGGCACTCCATAATAATAAAATCTTACACATCTTTTGGTGAGTATGAATGATATCCAGTCGAACCTCTTTAGGACGAACACCAAGGGACCAATGGTATTTATTCTGTGAGTTTGTCTTAACCTATTTTATAACCAGTAAATACAATTATTTCTCCAATAGACATACGAATAGATTTCTTCTACAGCGAAAGATTCTAAGCCACACCAACTCATTGACTCGTCTCGTATGAAACAAATGAGTCACTAGAGAGGTTCTGCAAAACGAAAATGCGTAAAAAGGTTCGTTCATTGCCATGAAGTGCAAAACTTCGCAACTTTGGACGCGAAACTTGCAGGGAACGCGAAATGAACTGTCGTACTCGTAGGACATTTCGTGAGATCGGGTCATGGCGTACGTGCACTTGGCCCGCGCAAACTACGAAAATGTGCAGAACGCAAAGTTCGTGCAAAAATTCGTACACACTTTCGCAAGGACTGTCGAGAAACTTCGTTCGAATTTTCGTTTTGCAGAACCTCTCTACTGAACGTTTCTTTAACAACATGACGGCAACTGAAACAGCAACAGAGAAAGTACGATACATGTACAGGCAGTACAGCACATTCTTGCAGGTACTACAAACAGATTGCAGATCGTAATTCTTGCTTTGGCGGCACGAAACTTTATTTAGGGCAGTGCAATCTCGGCGGTACTCACAAATAATAAATCAAACAGCCCAGACTCAAGTAAACAAATCCAATCATACAAGTACGAGATCTTCACGAGACGAGACTGCACCCATTGGCTTGTTTCGTATGAAGCAAACAAGTTTACTGAACCTCTCCACAATGGAGATTTTCCCTGATATGCGAGTTTATTTTGCAAACTCGGTCAATGGGTCCTTGAACCTTTCCCTCCAGATTGGGAACTGCCAACGATAGTATGCCACTGACCAGTGCCTTACTTGTAACGTTCCAATGTACAATGAATATGAGTATTTCGACAACACATTTAACATACCGGTAAGCCTTACCGTCAAGAAGGTGAACTCGCGTTCTTCGTACACTGTAGACAAGGGCAAAGAGATACAAATGGATCTAAATCCGAATAAAATCAGCACACGTTTCCGTAAATGAAAGGGTGAGCATAAGCAAATGAATCGAAGGAAACCGGTCAACTCAGAGATCACCTGTCATCGAGTATTCCGTAAAAGGAGGCCTCGGCAGCGGAAAAGCTAAATTATTTAGAAAAGAGATCCTGTCAGCTTTTCCATTATTTATTGCATTCCGCCCAAAATCAGCACACTTTTCGTAAATGAAAGAGTGAACACAAGCAAATGAATCAAAGGGAACTGGTCAACTCACCTGTCAGTAATATTCCGCGAAAGGAGGTCTCAGCAGCGCCGAAACGAAATAAGCCAGGCCAGGAGTCGAAATATCCGAAACAGCTCATACAAGAAGCAGTTCCAAAGAAGGAAGTTCCTTGCGCATGCACATCCGAACACGGACTGCACTGCAACACAATGTCTGGCTGCCGTGCAGTGCACAGCACGCGGCTTCCACCCGTTGGTAGATCTAATAACGAGCACCTTACGTAGAGATTTACGTAGCCTAAGTGAAATACCGAGCACCTTACGTAGAAAGTTACGTAGCATAGCGGTGTCGTTTTTCTTGCCATGTGAACACAATAATAGAAAAGCTGACAGGATCGCTTTTCTAAATAGACCGTGGGTGTCAAGCATGCAATAAATGATTTACAGCACCTCGTACGCGCTCGTACACGGGCAATACCGGCTTGATACATGACCTCACGGCTGACGCCGTTCGGTCATGTATCAGCCGGTATTGCCCTTGTACTCGGGCTGTAAATCATACTTATTTTGCGGGATAATGCTAATGGCAATGCCAGAACAACTGTATCATAAGTATATTATAATCAGGGAGTAGTACAATTGTACTACTCCCTGATTATAATAGCTCGACTTGCCAGGGGTTCAAGGGCTGATAATCCCCTGACCCAGGGGATTATTCTTCATAATCTCCTAGGTGAGGGGAAAGAGCCCAAGACTTTGGACTGCTCTCACCAGGGAGTCGTCAAATACGGTATTTGACGACTCCCTGGCTCTCACTATACCTACTAGGTAACCTAGGGAGAGTAGGCCAAAGCTAAGTAGCCAAACAAACCCCAAAGAGCCAGCCTGGAAGCTGCTGTGTGAAATCTCAATCAAATGACTTTATTATAGGAAGGTAATTGAACAAGTGGACATATTTACAAAACTCTCACATGAGCACCGTGAATATGTTTTTTTGTATTAGATGAACATAGATGTGACATGTGAACGTGCAATTACAGCTGCTCATGAATAATTGGCAACAAAGTACAGTCATGTCTGCAACGTCAACGACAACGTTGCCATGGGAACTGAACAACAAATGAAAGCAAGTACACTGTATTGTATCGTAAATAGGTTAACTATGGAACCTAAACAAGAGAAATGTTGTTCTTTGTATTTGAATTCGCAAGAAATCCAACACGCACGCATCTCGATCTCAACAACAATGTTGCCATGGAAACTGAACACTGGTCATACTGCCCATCATGTCAGGCATCACCCTCGGCCTCCCTCCCTCCCCCTCAAAAATTAATTGGCTGAGAAAATTCAAAGAGAAAAACGCACAGATCAGGACTTACAAGAGTACACAACATGTGGGGCCTGAACTCCCACCAGAACAAGAAGAAATCCATAAGCAGGCTGAGGCAATGTAAAGAGAAAAAAAGATCAGGTATTGTTTTTTTCATTTGTCAAATTGTGTTTTGTTCCTGTGTCATGTTTCCTTGCCGGCTTGCAAGCTTGCCTTTCCTTTTTTTTGTTGAGCTTGAAAAAGTACTACAGCTGTACTGAGTACTGTACTCCCTGCTTACAACTGAAAAAAGTGTGAAAGCCAACAACTGTGTACCGTGATGGCTGCGCAGACTCGTACCCCTGACAAGTCGAGCTATATACAGATAGTGCACGGATTGGTCCTCGGAAGAATATTTTTCATAATCCCCGCAGCGCTGCGCGCCTTGGGGATTATGAAAAATATTCTCCTCGGATCCGTGCACTATCCTATACATATTACCTGAAGCCGAGTGAATATGGGCGATTATCACTCTTCTATATCGACCTCCACTAATTCTCGTGATCCTTGACTGGTCCTATATTACCCATATCGCCCGCTTATATCGACCGCTTATATCGACCACTTAAGGTGGCAGACTACCCAAAAATTCGCTGAAAAATCGAAGTTGTAAATTCGCAAGAGGTACACAAAAGGAAGTATATAGGGCTGTTTTTTGTTGTAACTCAGAGTTTCATGGCAAAAACCAATCATCAGACAACATAAGGAGATTAGAAAAACGCAGTTATATGAAGGCAAGCAGAGGAGATAGAATAATTCAGTGCAGACAATATGATAATCATTCAACACCTCCCAGAGGCAGTACGCTCTGACGTGCCAGAATCAACATCTCAGGTGCTGGGTGAAACATGAACACGCACACTCATCCACACACACACACACACACACACACTAATCCACACACAGCCTCTCGTTCTCACACACTCCACACTCCCGCATTATCACACCTAAACACATGCGCACGCACACACACACACACGCACCAAAACACACACATGCACCACACACACACACACATACACACAGCCTCTCGTTCTCACACACTCCACGCTCCCGCATTATCGCACCTAAACACACACACACACGCACACACACACACACACCAAACACACACGCACCACACACGCATGCACCACATACACATACCTACACACAGCCTCTCGTTCTCACACTCTCCACACTCCCGCATTATCGCACCTAAACACACACACACACACACACGCGCGCGCGCGCGCGCCAAACACTGTAAATTCATATTGAGTGCTACGTCAGTTGAAAGAGCATGAATAGCTGCAAATTCTCTGAAAATTGTGTCCCGATCTGACCGGCCGGCCGAAAATGTGCCCTTGCAAGGAAAGATTTTTTTGTTGCACGCTGTCATTTGTTGGCAGCACTGTATTTGAATGTGAGCAGACTGTGCGCAACTTGTCGTACCATGGAAACACGTGAAAGTGGGCAGAATTTTGCTCCAAGTCCAAAAAATCAGGTTTTTGAGCCACGTATTGTGCAGCAGGACTTTTGCCAGCACCCTCGTGACGTTGCAGATATGTGGCTTGATTGGATTATTGTAGTTGACGTTGATTTAGTGACTTTGGCAAGTTTGAGTCGTGTCAAGAAGTCAGGTAGGATTCAGTACTACAAGGCAGTAGTGAAACGTGAGTGGTAGTCTTTGCCGGTTTCTGAGGGTATCCTGGATTTGGTGTGCAGCGCTGTGGAAATGGCTTGCTGTGGAGGTCCCAGCACTGGATGTTGTATCAAAAGTACGACCTCGTAGCACGTGCTAAACCTAAAAAAATTCAAAAATTGACTTGGGTCTGTGGGAGTGTGTGAGAGAACGCCCACTCGTTCCGTTGTGACAGATTCCAGGGCCTCGTTGAGGGGCCCTACCCCATCACCCATGGCTGCTTCTGGACTTGTTCTAGGTTTGAGTCCCGCGCACGAACAGAATGAGCACGAAAATGTGAAAAAATTGTAAATGCATTTGTTTGGCTCCTGGGTGGCTCGCACACCGTGGCACTATGCCGGAAATTTGAGTTTTTCCGGCCTGGAAAGCCTGTCAGTGAGGCGCAAGAACTTGTAAATCATGTCCTGAGGGCCAGCATAGTGGCAGGAGTGTGTGGTCAAAATTTCACTCAAATCCATTGAGAAACACCAAAGTTACGGTCAATTGAATGCCATATGAAATTTATGGGTAGGCTGCCCCCTTAAGGGGGCACATCACCCAAAAATTCGCTGAAAAATCGAATTTGTAAATTCATATTGAGTGCTACGTCAGTTGAAAGAGCATGAATAGCTGCAAATTCTCTGAAAACTGTGTCCCTATCTGACCAGCCGTTCAAGAGTTATGGCCGAAAATGTGCCCTTGCAAGGAAAGATTTTTTTCTCGCACAGCGATAAGCCACACTCGCTACACACCAAACAACAGCACATTTGTATTGCGGTTAGGAGGGCCAGAAGTGTGACACCACGTTCTTTTACATGGAAGGATGCGGAATTGTAGAATAGCGGAAGAAGGGACAGAGCACATGGATATTCTGTGAAAGCAACGCAATGGCAGCAACTGAGAGAGCAATGACCGAAAACCAGAAGCACCACTTGGGACCGTCAGATTAATTCGTCTGGGCCGAGCCAGCCGGGAAAAAACCCTCGCGCCGACGGACGCATTATTTTTTTGAGGGAAAAAACCGGGTGTAAAACCCCAAGTGGCTAATCTGACAAGTACAAAAAGCAGGGAGGGAGGGTGGGTACCTCAAGACGACTGGCCAGTCGTGCTCATGCGCAGCGGTTTAGAGAACATGTGAAGATGTACGAGTAAAAAGAAATTGATCAGATGACTGCTCACTTGTGAGAAAAAAACACGAGAAAAAACCGCTGTGACGAGAAAATACTTCTCGCCTCTGTCGCTGCGCTCTGCCGTCGAGAAGATACCATTCTCGCACAGCGATAAGCCACACTCGCTACACACCAAACAACAGCACATTTGTATTGCGGTTAGGAGGGCCAGAAGTGTGACTGCTAGACAACGCATAGTAGGGACAGAGCAGTGGAAGAAGTGGACAGAGGACAACGCGAATTCAGCTATATATGCGCATATCTGTACGAGTATGGTTAGACAAGCTAACGCCGTATTCGGCCTCCGCTACTAAGCAACGTCATAGGCCAAGAGATTGAGACAACTGGAGGAGCTGGGGAAGCGACTCCTCTATATACCTGTTCTTGGAGGAGTCCGACTTCCAACCACCATGTCGCTTGATTAGTCTGTCAGCGGTCCCAGCACTGGCAGCAGTAGAAGCGGCTCCAGAGCGCATACTGTGAAGGCCGTACTCCTTGGCGTCAAGGCCGACGATGGCCAGGCATTTTCGCACCTTCTCCAGGGCGCACGAGTAGCTGATGGCGATAGGCCTCAGTATGGCCTGCTTGCGGCAGCTGCCCAAGCGACAGAATAGAGGCTGGTGGGGCAGATGCTTGCCAGCGGTGAGGAAGCGCTGCACCAGCTCGACGGGACAGGTGGTTAGCCCAGATCTGGCAATATACACCTGGTGGCCTTTGCGAAACTGGTCGTTCTTCCTCTGCTGCAGCGAGATCACCATGTGGGTGTCTGTAAAACTGATGTCGGAAGGCGTCAGGCGGTGCAGCTCGTCCCATCGCAGCATTGCGGAGAAGCCCAAGACAATGAGGGTGATTGTCTGCAGGTCATCCAGGGAAGTGGACGAGTCGGAGTAGTGCTCGATGATGCGCTGCACTTCCGTGGACACGAGTGCCTTCTTCGGCTTG